AAAGAAATAATTCATTAAATGTTAGAATACTGCTGGTGCATTTGTAAGTCCAAAAAGCTTGACATTATATTCAAAATGTCCATACCTTGTTTGAAACACAGTCTTATATTCATCTCCTTCTTTGATGCATACTAAATTGTATGTTCCTGATAGATCTATTTTTGTATAGATCTTAACTTGATTCAACTGATCAAAGAGTCCAAATATCAAAGGTAGTGGGTACTTGTTCTTGATGGTGATTTTGTTGAGTCCTCGATAATCAACATACATCTGCAATGATTCATCTTTTTTCTTCACAAATAAAATTGGAGCTCTTGCTAGAAATTTAGAATGGCATATGAAGTTCTTGGCCAGATACTCTTTAATATATAGCTTAAGTTCAGCCAACTCATTTTTTGATAAAGTAAAGATTGGTCCAAATGGCAGTTGTGCTCCATCTTAAACGTCAATTGAGTAGTCATAGCAACAATGTTCCAAAAGAATATGCTATGTTTCGGTGTCGTGTTATAACACGACTATATAAAAAAAATATAAATAAAAAAGATATTATTAATATTTAATCATCTTGGATGTTAGAAACATTGTCCAATTTCAGTGCCAATATTTAGAGCAGTTAATATCATCCCATCAGTATCATCAAACCATACAACCAGGATCATTTTCCAACCCTATATGGAACAAGCCTAGTATGTATATATCGCCAAAGACACCCAATATGCATGATGGAAGTGCAGGAAGACCACTTTGTTGTTTCCATTGCAAACGGGTTGGTTATTATGCCAGTGAATGTTTCAATCCCAAAGCCTGTGATGATTACACCATAGTGTGTAGGAATTGTAAGCAAATGAGGCATACTTATCAACAATGTAATGCTCTATCCAATTCAATAAGCGGGATCAACAGATCCAAAGCTAAGAAAAAATTGAGAAGATAAATCAAGGTCCTCAAGATTCTTTGATGAATCGGGCGGAATGAATCCAAGCCATTCTTATCAGGAGTCGGCAAAAAGAAAAAGGACCAATTCAATATTCGAGTGAGTTTAATGTAAAGGACAAATTTGACCCAATTACAGGGACATCCAATCTAGGCCCTAGTATGTGCCTCTTATTTAGTATGAGACCTGACTTGGTTGGGCAACCCAATGAGGTCCCGAATACGGAGGCTTCAGTTCCATTTTAAGCTGTTCCATTCTCTATGCTGTTTTGAGAGAAACGTCCTTTCCGTAGAAAGATCCTCTTAGAGAGAGGAATTCCGGGGAAGCACCGTCGACTGTTCCAATTCGAAATCCATGGTGAAAGAAAAGGGGACCACATGGAGTTAAAAGGGAAGAGACGATAAAGAAAGGGACATTCAGAGATTGGTTTTTTGGAGTCGGAGAGCTAGCTTCAAGCTCCTTCGAAAGGTGTAGAATTGAGTTTCATAGGATTTGGAAGAACTTTGGCAATCGTTGCTAAAAGCCAATGTTTGTATTAGTGAATTGGATTTTTTGTAATAAAGTAATGGCTAGTACTCTTGATTGTTTTGTGAAATTGGACAAACTTCTGCGGTTGAAATTTAGAGGTGTCTAAAAGGTTGGTATGCCAAGTGCATGCAAAAGTTTGTGTTAATCTGATGGAACAGATAGAGGATATTTGACCATTAGTGTAAAGAGGTATCGGAAGTTAGCAGATTGGGGTTGTTTAGGGTTTCTGTAATTTCGAGAGATCTACCAACTGGAATAAGGTGACTTTTGGCATGATAAGTCGAGGACTTTTAAGTAACGGTCAAGATACATTAATGTGGATTAACGGTAATTTCTTGCAACTTGTAAATTAGATTGGATTAAAACTTCTTGAGCATTTAGAAGGCTTGCAAAGACACTAGTGGTAGAAATTTACAATAATTAGACAATTAGATTGAGAATTAGAGCTTGTTGAAGCTCATTGTCTAGAGTTAGGATTAAAACTAAAATAAAATAAAATAAAAATAAAATAATAAAATAAAATAAGATAAAATAAATAAAAAATAAAAACTAACAAATAACAAAAGACTTTGTACTTATAATATCTTGAAGTTATTAAAAATAGTGTTTCTAAGCACTTTATATTGGAATTAAGCTTTTACATTGAAATCCGAAATAGTTTGTATTCAGATAGTTGAAACCCACTAGCCTACTTGGATACTTACAAAACATTATTTTATCTTCCATAGCCAGATGTCTGGTGCGTTCTCAAGCAAGATAGCACGTAATACGACATTGGAAGGGGGTTCTAAGGAGAGATTATGACCTTTATTAGCCGTTGTACAAGGTTCCAGCCACACAGTCCTTATTGTAGCTGGATAAATTTGTTTTTTGACATGCTATCTTCTTTGATCGCCGTACTCTTCATTTTATAGTTACGTCACTTCTTTGCATAATGTTAAGTAGTGCGCTTAGGTTCTCCACAATATAAGCACAATCCTTCTTGATGACAATGAATTTTTTCTTGCTCAATAAGACATTTGAAATGTACTACATGAATTTGCATATCCTCTACTTTTAAATGTATATGTTAAACAGATGTTGGTGTTGCCATTGAATTATAGTATTATTGAGGTTCACTTGTATAGTTCTCAAATTGAAATTAAAAAAGACAATTGTCACACTTTACAGCAAAGTCAATTGCTTGACTCAATGTTTGAGGATCACGTAAGTTAAACATCAATTTTTTTACCTCATATTATAATCCTTAGAGAATTTGGCTAACAAGTGTAGCATCATCTTACTTGATATCAGTTGTAAGTTGTCAAAACTATGAAGCATACAACATTACTGATTGATTGCCTTGTTGCCAAATATGGATCTTGTTGATTGCATCACAAATTGCATCATGTTTTCCATACATGAATCAAAATTCTTCCAAAAAAGCCTCTAAATTATCCAATATTGGATCTCGTTGTTCAAGAAAAGATGAAAATTATAATAATGTTGAAATTGAAAGAAGAATACTAATGAATCTAACTTGCAATCTTAGAATTGCATAGCTTTGGGGTTAAAGTTCAATCATAAGTTTTACTTGATTGATAAATCCTCTAAACTTTGATCTGGTGCCATGAAACTTCTCGGGTAGGACAATTCTAGATTCTGTAACATTAGAAGGGTATTCCACCATAGAAGAAGGAACATAATTTGGTGCAGATATTGAAGCAGCTCCAATCATTTCTATATCTTCACTTCCTGTCAGTCTTGTTGCTCCTTATAATAGTAAATTGAGTTGATGCATTGCAAGCACTAACTTCCTGAATTGTTCTTGTATTTGTGCCATTGTACTCTTTATTTCAGCAAGTTCTGCAACGATAACACTTAGAAAAAATAGATGTCTATTATTGTTCAAGACAAATAGAAGAGAGGACTTGAAAACAAAGAAAATACTAAGGACAATATCAGTTTAGAAGAGGATAATCCGCAACTTCTAATATGTTATTATCTTATCAAGAGAAAAGAATAATCCATTCTTAATCAAGATTAGACAAATCTCTCATATTATAAGTGTAATCTTGTCAATCTATCAAGGACAAGAAGTTGATAAAGACAAATAAATAAGTGAGACTTCTCTCAAAGAAAGATGAAAAAATAGAAATAATTCAATATTTATATTAAGAAAGAAACTAGAATGGCTATTGCCAAAAGACAAGAAAATTAGAGACCCTTGAAACTAAACTAGAAGCAAGAAAGGAGTTGACAAGAGTGAAGAGGGCTTCACTCTTGCCTCTATATATACTATCTAACTAGGGGCTGCATGGCGATGTTCTATAGGACCTCCAATATGTGTTGACTTTGTAGGACACATGCCTTGACTTACAAGATAAGTTTTTTTATGTGTGGGCGACATAGTTAGCTTGATCTTCAAGCTAACAACATGTGTGGTACATGGCCAACTTATTAACCACGTTTTTAATCCAAAAAGTCAATTAAAGACACCTATAAAGTCAAAGCAGAGTCTATGAAGCTAATAAGAAGCTTGTATAATAAATTTTATATAATTAGCTTACTTTTACCTACTTTTACTTATTTCTACCTATTTATACATGTAATTATTGGCTTACATGCATATGTCCGTTACATATCTGCAACCAATAAAAACTAATCGCATTCATAATGATTGCCACATATGTGTCTATTTAACATTCCCGTATTTTTAATACAGGTTTATAATGTTGTAATTTTAAAAAATTGAATTAAACAAACAAACAAACAAACAAGTTTCATTTCCAAGACATGGACTGAGTCACTTTGTAGTAGCTCATAAGTTCCATTTCCAACTTGTAATCCTTTGCATGCATGATTCAGCAAAAAATTTCCATTTCCAACTTGTGATCCTTTGCATGCATGATTCAGCAAAATTTTGCAGCTTTTGAAGCAGATTGAAGATTGCATAACAGGAGATTAAAAGTATCCACCATCTAATTGAGTACATGCAAATATGAACAGAATTGAGAAGGTTCACAAGGTGCGGTAGAAAACTGCAACTACTTAGTGGTTTTTGTTGATGGAAATTAAAATTTTCTCTACCACAATGTTTTGAAAGCCCACAAGAGTTGAGTAGAGACATCAACAAATGTCTCAGTTCAACAATCCTGTTGCAATCCTACCGGATGAATCGTTACTGGTGATGACTCCGATCTGTTGATTTCGTGACGTGGTTTTGATCAGCGATCCGACAAAATCACCTGCACGAAACATTATATTCTTGATAGCATTTGAATGTTGGGCAATGAATATGTTAAAATTTAATTTCAAAGAGTCAGCAATGGTAAAGAGAAGAAACATTATCTCTTCAAGTTCTTTTAAATCTGCTTGAAACAAATCTTACAGCTGAAACGCAAGCACAAAACGTCAGGAAATAGAAAGCGCTAATCAAGCTGCGAAGCTTCGAAAGTGCAAACTATATTCTCGCTCAGCTTCTGCGGAATAAGGCACACACGGCCTTGGGACCATATAAGTCATCTATTTTCGTTGAGGACCTCGTTTTGGTACCTGGAGGAGGAAACCCTAGCCTATGCGGTCGGCTGGCTTATATGGTCTCTCCGTCGATTCTGATTGCTCTCTTTTCCGCGCGCATTCTGTTGGCCTTCGCCTCTCGCATCGGCGTCAGCCCGCAACCTTGAGTCTTTCACCATGGGGCGTATGCACAGTTCCGGGTACGTTTATCTGCTGCGGCGTCCGCTTTTCTGCCCTTGCTCATACTCCTTGAATGCCCGTTTAGTTAACTGCTGCCGTCGTTAGGTTTCAGGAATTTTAAACTTTAGGTTTAGGTTGTTGTTGGTGGCTATGTTCGTTGGTTCAGTTCACTCGAATTGCGTTTGAAGTTTTTGGACTTGTATGCAGGAAGGGTATGTCCTCATCGGCTTTGCCGTACAAGAGGAGCCCGCCATCGTGGTTGAAGATCACCACCGCCGAGGTTGAAGAGCATATCTGCAAGCTCGCCAAGAAGGGTCTGACCCCTTCTCAGATTGGTGTGATCCTGAGGGATTCACACGGTATTGCCCAGGTTAACAGCGTGACTGGAAGCAAGGTTCTCCGTATTCTGAAGGGACATGGTAAGAATTTGGCTTTTTGACCTACACGCCGCACTGGGCAATCAGACAGTTAATGGATACTCACACGAAAAACTATGCGTCCTATTTTCATGTCGTTTAATTCCGGAAGCTAACGATATCACCTCAGAATGACGGTCTCCGACCAGCTTGACGATACTGACACCGCATTGCTTGAGGGCTGACGAGATTGCGCCCATGTGTAGGTTTGGGTCCCGAGATCCCCGAGGACTTGTACCACTTGATCAAGAAGGCTGTCGCTGTGCGCAAGCACTTGGAGAGGAACCGCAAGGACAAGGACTCTAAGTTCCGATTGATTTTGATCGAGAGCCGTGTCCACAGGCTAGCTCGCTACTACAAGCGCACCAAGAAGCTCCCCCCTACCTGGAAGTAGTAAGTAGTAACACTCCACTCCTTCTATCTGAGGAATATTGTTGAGGAATGACATGAATAGGTGGGCTTAATTTCACTCTGCAGTTTCACATTATTAGCATGCTCCTAAAAACTGCAGTATGGTTGGCAACGCCTTCGTGATACTGAAAGTATGCCATAGTGTGATTTATTCATGAAGACTGGCGACATATCTCTCTGTGTGTGTATTATCTCTTGGATCCGAACCACCTTTAGGGCTTGCCAGTCTGAACTCTAACTATACTGTGTTTTTTGCAGCGAATCCGCCACTGCTAGCACTCTCGTCGCTTAAGTGGAGAGAAATTCCAAGATTTGGCATTTGCAATAGATTTTGGATAGAAAATTTTCCGAAGCTGTACTCAGGGGGTTATGTTTTCATTGAAATAGCAAAATACGTTGAAGCTACTATCTTGCAACTGGAAGTGGTTTTGTCTTCAAGGAGACGGCCAGCCTCAGTCTCGTTTTGTACTAAAATGGTTACACTGAATATCCTCTGTTTGATCCCCCCCCCCTTACTCTTCTCTCATATTTTTCATACTAAAATATGCCTCAAGGAGTTCCGTGCCCTCGTTTTAGCAGAATTCACCCCTCATGCTTGTTGGTTGAGTGGGGATTAAAAACCACTTAGGTGCTTGAATATTCTCTGGAGTGGATACGAGATGAATAAACAATTCTGGGTCCGCACATATTAGTACTTTTCTTCGTTCAAAGATAAGAAAAGTACGCGATTTGTGACTGGAATCTTCGCGACTCATGAAATTTATTTTCTTCGAAACTGCGTGATATGACAATAATTTAAATAGCACGGCATCAGTATCGAAAGCCTATGTTCCCATAATCGAGTAAAAAACTTCTCTGTAGACAAATTCATCATTTCTCGACTACTGATGAGCTCACTCAATTTCAATCAATGAGCCACTTGGTAAAGTACATATCTTGTAACCTTTACATTGCGTCAGGTTGTCGTCAATAACACAAGTAGGAAGATTGACAACTCAAGAGTAATTGTGGTCAATGAAAATGATCGTATGGCAGCTAAACGTATTTGGATCGCTCATCAAGATCATGGATTGTTTCTTGATTCCACCTTGGCATGTGCGTAAGTATCCGTTAATTATATCGCGTACTTCATACCTAAAAATGGATATTGCTGCTTTTTTATTAAGTAAATACTGTTTTTTCAAATAACCTTTCAGCGTTTACCAAGAAAGCGACCATGAAGATAATTTTTGCTGACATTATAGACATTTCTGAAAATGATTGTCAAATGTTATCAAACTTAAAGAATTTAAGCTTGAGTCATGATTCATTAACACGTTAATGACAAAATTTAACTATCTACAAAGAGAAAGTCACATTTATTTTATTGAATTTTTCATTATCAACTTTAATTGTAAAAGGTACATTCTTACGTATAAGTTTGTTATTTTATTTTATTCTGTTCATGTACAAATTATTATTATGATTAGAAATACACTTGAATACAAATTTATATTCAATACAAAATTGTATTATATAAATTTGAATTCAATTTATTTATTTTGTATATTTAGACAATCAAATTGTATACAATCAATAATGTAGTCATGTAGATTTTACATCTCAATATGCCTTGTTTGCATGAAGAATGGTCCATAAAAGCAATACCACCCAATTTAGTTCTATAGTGTAATCACAACACTTTTCATCTTCAATCATCCCCCAATTATTACAACAACAGCACCAAAAAAAAGAGTTTGCTAGTGAAGATGTATTTTTGGCAAATAATGTCATTTCCAAGTTTCAAAACCCACATCTCAAAACCGAGACATTTGAAGAAGCGCTCCATCCTGAAAGAAATTCTACAAGTGTGCTCGAATCGACACGTTTAGAACGACCATTCAGTTCATGTTCGGAAGGGCGCGGTGATAGGGAGAATGAGGGGTTATGGGGGGGGGGAGGACGGCACACAGCGCAAAAGAGGAGTCCGCAAGGGCCCATGAACACCCACTCACGCACCACCACCCTGCTGCCCTTCCTTTCTTAGGCGTCAGAGATTTGCGCCTTAATTTAGATTCTCACCTCAAGACGACTTGGTTCTCGTCTGCCCACCACCCTTGTGCATGCGGACATGGCCAAGACTTTGACCCTGCCACAGCTCTGCCCTCCTGAAACTAGTTGCATTGTCGAAGCAAGAGCAAGCGAGTAAGCAAGCAAGTGTGGGTTCACAGTCGGCACGAGAGGGGGGGGGGGATGCGGGATCGGGAATCGCAGAGCCCCGGAGCCCAGAGGGCCGGAGCCAACACATCCGACGGCGACAGGGTAGGTAGGGCCCTACGCCAAGTGCCGTGAAGAATGCCGAGAGGCGGTTGCGCGCGCATTGTTTAGAGTTTGTGTTGTTGGGTCGCGAGGACTGTGGCGTCGAGGCCCGTCTACTTCCCAGTGGCGTGGCTCCCAGGGTGGAAAATAGCAGCAGGGCTGGTCGTCGGGGTGGACTTCGGGTACTCTGAGGAGTAGAGGCGAGAGCCCCAGGTTTCGTGTCGTTGAGCACAACTCACTGCAGCCAGCCAGCCACCCAGCCACCCAGCTTGCTGTGTTTTATGAAAAGCAACGCTCGTGTCTAGAGCCCTCCCCACCGCCCTTCTTCCTGTGTGTGTATCTTTCCTTGCCTCCTCCCGCTTCTTTAGGGCTCTATCTCTCCTGGGTCGTCTCCGCGTAGCTTCAGATCGCAGTCTCTCGGTTCTCAACCCTTCTTCGTCGCCATGTCTGTGCTTGTATCGACCCGTTCTCTTTCTCCCAACACGTGCACGCAGTGGGTTAACCAGTCCTCCGAGTCTCGTCGGGTGTAGTGGACACTCCTAGTGGGGGACTCATGGAAGTCCGATTTCTGTATTCTTTGGTGTGCTTTTGAGAGTAGGATTGAAGGAGAGTAGGAGCTTTCGTGTACCTGGGTTATTCGAAGTGATGGATGAGGATCTGAGGGTTCGGCTTGCTTAATGTGTAGAATATTGTCATTACGGTGTGGAATAGGATGTTTTTTTGTCCTTCACCAAAGATGAGCACTACAAATTATTGTGTCCTAGACTCGTGAACAAAAATAAATAGAGCACATTGCATCAGTTGGGATAGACAATGCAGTTAGTTTTTGTTGTACTAAGAGATTTTTGTAGTGCGTGCATTCAACATCGCAATAGTCTTGCAGCAGTTTTGATGAGTCAGTCAGCTGTGAGACTCCTACAGCGGTTTTGGTACTGGCTTATTGGAGCAAGACAAACTTTGCGAGTGGCTGTTTGATGAACGATCGGTTGCTTTTACGGATGAAGTTGTTTTTTGCGGATGTTTTCCCTCTTCCTAAACGCTTAACGAATTCGGCAACTTTGATCAGGTCTATCAGGCTAGCGGGGCAGTGGCATCTATGGATCGAGGAGCGAGAAATTTACTGTCTTAGAGAGATAGGCCTGCAACTTGAGGTACGTGTTCACTTTATTGATATCTGTGAGGTACATCAGCTTCTAATCAAGGATTTTCGTTTTGGACGACAAGACCAAGGGCAATCACCTAGGCAAGTATCGTAGAGACATGCTCTGAGCATGTCAAATCGAGTAAATACCGTATCAGGGGCATGACTAGTCATTAGAATCAGCATTTTTCGATTATGTTAGGTTAACTTGTTTGTGCATTTGTGCTTTCTTGCACACGAGCTAATACTGTTCTGTTCCTGATGGAGTGATACCACCCTTGTTTAGTCATTAATCTTTTGCAACGGCTAGTGACAAATTGTTAGGGGTAGGGCTAGGCTTGTAATCAAGTCTTCCTTTCATTACGTTTTCTTCTGTGACCTTTAGACCTCGAAAAATATTATCACGTCAGCTGGAAAAAGTGACTAGCCTTCCAGCTTGTAATGTAAACAGTACGAGATTGGGTGAGTCAAGATGTCTACTACGAATACTTTATCTTCGATTACGTATGTGCACCTACTAGTTGCACAGAATATTGGGTCAACACTGGGTGCAGGGTTATTCCTTCTTAGATAAATGCCGTATCTTAACAAGTTTCCATCCTTATGGTCATCAATCAACCGTTTCACGCCTGGAAGCTCGTAACATTTGTTTTGCGCCATCGACACTAACTAGAAGTAGCTTAAATTTCCGACATAGGATAGTGGTCTTTTGACTTGTGCATTGTAGAACCTATTTGCAATGCACTGCACATTCTGCGTGAGAGCAACTACTCATATCTCCAATTATTGACTTCTGTGGTCAACTGAACTACCTAGTAGTAAGCCAGAGGAAAAAACTAAGCAGTGGTTGTGCCGCAAAGCACTCATGAGTTTTGGACGAACTCATGTTGAGATAATCTTCTAACACACTGCTCTTATGAGTGAAAATAGTTGCGTAATGGAGTTGGATGTGCAAACTAGCCAGCAGTTTCTGGCCAAATTGCGGTTGAAACGCAACAATGACGCCTCACCAGTCAGACCAGGTCCAGCGGAGGCGGCGTGGAGTGCTGAGGATACTGGAGCTCGAAGGAACGAATCTCCTGTTTGGAGACGCGCCTCGATGGCCACCCAGCGTTCTCAGTCAACGAAGAATGTTCAGAAGACTAGACAGATCGAATGGGTCATCCATTTGCAAAAGGTCGCACTTGGCCTTATGACCAAGCTGCATAAATTGCACCAGATTTTGGGGTCTGCGGAACCCGGGACTCTGCACCACCCAGACTCGTTCTGGAAGACTGGAATCTTTCCAGACATGCCAAAACTGTGCCAGCATGTTGCACGCAAATTTCCTGAGCACCCTGCGAAAATGCAGCTGGACAAGGTGGATTCTATTACCCTCCCTTTCTCTCCACACTTTTTTTCACAAAGCATTGGATAGCACAACTTGTGTATCAAGAGAGAGAGAGAGAGAGAGAGAGAGAGAGAGAGAGAGAGAGATTAACTTAAGGCCATGAATTTGAATTTACTTCAATCCAATTATTGTTTTCATTTTTTCAGGTCGACAAAGGAGGGTGCGATATGCTTCATGAACATTCAGGAAGATATGTAGCGTCTCTTGAGCCGTGGATAATGGTATGATTCCAGTGGAAGGCTACTGATTTGTAGAGTACTGCAGAGAAGTAGCTGTTTGAGTGAAACAACCTGTCTCTGTTTTTAGGCTTACTATTTTGTTTTCGGGTTCATTGGTCGATTTGATATCCACCTACATTTCAAGCTGAAGTCATGGATGTCTGCAGGTTCTAGAGGATCTTATGACATTTCGAGAACAGTCACTTCGTGTGATCCTCGACTTGAGTAGCACAGTGGTCACCTTGCTGGTGAGCCCTTCAACCTAAGCCAATATAGGAGCGTTATCGCATGTGATAATGCCCCAGCTTGACATGTCAAGCTGAGACTAACGTGGACCTTGTCAGTTGTTGATGGCATAGATGTTATGAAACCGTTAGTTTGTAAGAAAAAGTTAAACCTTTTAATTCCAAAAAAACCCGAGTTCGAGGAAGCTTCATTTTGCGGTTGTCAATTAGTATTAGGGCTAGTATTATCTTTAATCTGTAAATGAGAGTGGGAGAATGGTTTTTCAGTGACTTGCAACGTGTTTCTGCAGCCCAATCAAAATCCTCTTCTTCTCCGAGTATTTATGGAGCTTTTTTGTTCTTTTGTGCGGGTCAACCTTCTAGCAGACAAGGTTAATACATTTCCTGCACCTCTGGCTACGTATGTTCGCAAACTTTTGGGAATTTTATCGTTGGCTGCTTTTAAGGTTTCAAATTGTGCTCCCGAAATTATATCATGACCTTTGTGGTTATAAGCAGGTACCGAGGAAGATGCTCCTTCAGATGTATAATCTGGTACATACAATAATGAAAAGCGGACGAGATTATGGGGCTTACCATCGGTAAGATGTTTTGCGAAGGCGGGTTTGATTTCATGTCTTGTAATTGGCAGGTCTACCTGAGTAGATATGGGAAAAATATGTACCAATTTTATGGTGCATTCATGAAAACAGTTCCATAAATGTAGTTTGTAGTTATCGAACAATAGAGCAAGAAAGCTGTAGATCACAGCTGCCTCATGAAGTGGAGTCTGTTCAAAATACAATTTTGTGAAGTAGGGCTTATGCTCGTTTAAATGACCATCTTGACCATGACATTGCTTATTTCGTGTTATTGGGATCGGTTGCCACTCGTTTCTGTGAATTCTGAGGGTTTGGGATACTTTGAATCAGCATGGTGCAGTTTGTAGAAGCATATGACCCTCCTCTGAAGGGGCTACATGATGACCTCAATTTTGTGAGCCCCCGCATAGGTGAGGTATGTGCTTGAATCTACAGACAAAACCTTGAATCAACTTTGCTTTACAGCCGCATTTTACTTGGAATTTGAGCAAATAGCGTCTACATGCATATGATTGTGTGTATTCGATTTGTTTACAGCAGTGCTGGCCTGCCTCTGGGGGCAGTAAGATTGTGGCATAGTCTAAGCTGATTCATGATTTTGACGCACAACAGATATTGGACGCTGTTGGGCCAACAGTACTTCTTGGGTCCGACTTTCAAAGGCTGCGCAGTGAAGGTTATCTCAGTCCATTTCATCCTCGGTATCCTGACAAGCTTACCAACTCAGCACATCCAGCTGTAAGTTTTCTGACGTATAGCTTACCATGTACCTTTTGTGACTTTCCTATGTTCTTGGGTGCCGTCAGGTGTTATATTGAATTCTGGATTTTGGATAGTTCAGTTTAAAGATGTAGCTGTATGCATGAGCTTGGTATCGAACTGACTATGCAGGTTGAATGTTTGACAATTTTTTGCACTCTTTATATTGAATGCTTACATGCAATTCTGTGAACTTCTCAGAGAGCACAAGAGCTGGTAAATATTGAAGCATACCGAGAATGGGTACTTATTGGGTATCTAGTTTGCCCCACAGAACTTCTTCGACCTGGAGCAGTGGATATTGCTTTGGTGGGTCTCTTCTGCAGCTTGCTGCTCCAGATGTAGTATACATTGCATGTTAGTCGTTGAAAATTATGTAAGTACGTAGTGAACGCAAACTGCTTTTGGTATTTGTCTATTTGTCCAGCTTACACATCTTCCATGTCGATTATAAAACAGGTGCTGCTCAAAGAATCTATCCTCCTACCTCTTTTCCGAGATGAGGTACCTTCTGCATTCTTGTGCAAATGCTTGATTGTCTTCCTGACAAGTGGTATTAATTACTATCTGTGCTTTCATCTCGCAGATTTAAATTCGTTCGTTGTTCATTGTTCGTTGTGTTGTTTATGTAGTCATCCTCTAGAGTCGGCCTTTTGCGCGGTTCCACAAGGTTAATTTCAGGCATGGAAAGTCATTATCAGGAAAACTTTCTTGGATGAGTGCAGTATGTTTTGTTGCATGAAGAGTATCAGCATTATGTACTACCTAGGATAGCTGAGTCGAAAAAACTTGCAAAGGCGGGGCGTGCCAAGGGTCGTGATGCTGATGTTGAATACAATCTGGCCAAACAGGTCGAGAAGCAAATATGGTGGGTATGCACAGCAGAATCAGGCTACTGACATCAATCTAAGAATCATGTGAATTTTTGAATGTCGTGGAGAAAATATTCGTGCATTAGATATTGGTTATCTTATCTTATCTTATCATCACTCTTTGCGCCCACATCCAGCATCTAATCTGCGCTTGTTGACACAAGCTTTGTAGTGCTAAAATATTACGCTGTAATATTTCATTCTAATGAAGATCTGGATTGTCACAGCGACGCCCAAGATACTGCTATCAACAATGCAGACTCTGCACATAGGGAGCACCGATTGCTATTGAAGCAGGAGATTGGTCGTATGTTGTTGTTTTTCTCAGATCAGCCCACCCTCCTTGCACCTAATCTGCAGGTGTGTTATACCTTGTGCTTTACCTTGTGCTTCTACTTCCAACTTTCTCCGCATACTGTATCTGTGTGGTTTTAAAATCTCAACAGTACGTTTTTGCTATGATTGAAACTATTCAATATATATATATATATATAATCTCTGGTGTTTTTAAGAGACCATCTTGATTCCATCTTGGTGTTTGTGTGGGGTCAACATTTATTTAATGGTTGGTTCTATATGTAAATATTTGTTTAACAAGCACATGACTAAGATCGCCCATGTACTTCCTATCTGAAAATAGTCCAAAAGCTTTTAATAAAGTACTTTGAGGTTCTGACCCATATTTTCTGCTTCTTCATGTTTTATCTCAGTTATATTCATTTTAGAGAGACCATCTTCCAGGCTATCTCCGCTGATATAATATACATTTGAGTGCAGATGGTATTTGCTGCCTTGGTAATGGTTCGTGCAGAAATTTTATGGTTTTTTAGCCACGTTGGAGTTATGGTGGGAAAAGCAAAGGGTACTCGAGTGATGCCCATAGAGATGGTGCTTAATTTTTCAACCCCTGCGCGTCATAACTCTTCTTTATTTTCACATTTTTGCGCCTGTTTGATTCTTAAATTGGAGCTTTTTGATCGATGACTGTCACATGAAATTTTTGAGCTAGCATTTTGTCAATCAACCAAGTTCACTGATTGGTGGGTGCAGGACATGGAAGACCCTACAATTGGTTTTCTATTAGATGGCATGGATCGTCTCACCGGGCTTATTCGCAAATACACTCCAGGTAGAGAAGTTTTTCTTGCCGCTCTATGTGTTTATGAAGGCAGTCAATTTCATATTCTTCTGTTCTTACGTTTCTTGATTCGTTTTTAAGGAGTTTGGTCATTGTTGGTATGAAATGGTATCTTGGAACGAATTCCCTCACCATTATCGTTACTATCTGCAGCTTGCAAAGCATTTGCAATGGGCTACTTATCAGCCGCAGTCCAGAGAATGCAGGTCCTTCTGGTTGGACCAGGAATGGTAGCACTTGATATAGATCCAGAGTTGCGTGAGCTGTTCAATTCTGCTCTGGAAACGTTGGACCAGCTTCCACAGCTTCACACCGACAAAATTGTTCCAGCATCGCTTGATCTCTCTGTGAGTTTCTGCGTGCCATGATTGGACGGTGTGTCGTGTTGAAACTGTAAACTAACGCTTCGAGCGCTGAAAAGCAACTGGACAAGTATTGTATTGTGGTTTAATCTGGTACTTCTTTGTGGTGATGTGGAAACCTTAAGAGTGATTTGACAGATCAACATTGTGCTAGGTAGCTGTTTCTTAGACACCAACTTGCCATGTTGAGGGTTTCATTGGATTTTTCAAGACCTGCAGGTTTCCTTGCCATTTCATTTAGAACTTCGTTGAAAGTTGCTGACTAATGAAAGCTGGGTTCGAGGATAATATTTAGTTACCTTAACTGCTTCGATTACTACGTTTATTTCTTGTAGGGATTTCGCAGGGATTGGCTGCGTTTGATCATGCTGGTTTCTTCTTCAAGGTCTCCAATAAATATTCGGCACTTAGATAAGGCAACTGTATCTACAGGCAACGATAGCATTGTTTCTGAGGGCAACCTCGCGTACCTATGGTCAAGGTGTAAATACTTTTGCCCTCCAATTTCTGAATTAGACGATAATTGCTCTTCTCTTACTACAGTGGCGTATAGAGCCATACAGGATGATACTAGCGCAGTCAATCCTGGGTTCTAAAAGTTATCATACATTATTATTTTTTATTTTTATTATTTTTTATTTTTGTCAATGATGCTATTGTATTCCTTTCTTTTGATTTATGACATATTTCCTAATTGGGATGTTACAGGAGTGTGGATGAAATGGACAAGCAGATTTTGCAACATGCATCACTTAAAATGTTGTACTTCTATCGGCCTGATGTCACAGCGGTGAGTACTCTATTGTCAAATGGATTACTATTTCATGCTCAGTTACAAATCTGTCTATTGATAATTTATCTGACAATGACGCTGCCTGCTGCAGGTTTTCCGGCATACAATGTTTGGACCTGAAGGTCGACCGCAGCACTGCTGTGCTTGGCTTAGTCTTGCGTGCACGTTTTCAGATAACGCGCACCCGAATGTTCCTGATGAGGTCCAGCCTCATCTTGCTAACACCGTCTCTTTAATGATGTACAGTTTAACTGAGCATTGTCATTTTGAACCAAAAAAAGGCGCTGATATGTGGTTATGCACTTGTGTTGAACAGCTGCCGACGTTTGCTAGGGACGCAGTCTCATATGCAGAGTCTATCCTTGATTCAGTCATGGGGGGCTTGGAGGGTCTCATCAACATCTTAGATTCTGAAGGAGGTTATGGTTCTCTTGATAATAAGGTAAGTCTCTGCATGTAAATTCGACAGGTACTTTCTTCTATATGAAGAATTTTGGTTATTTTAACTTTATTTTTATTCCCTTGTTCATTTTAAGTTTTCATTCATTGTGTGTTTCATCGTAAGGAGTTTTGTTACTCTTTGGGTCAGAAGCGACTTTTTTTCTGCTGGTGGTTAACCTCCAAGTCTTTTGACTCGGACATGTGCAGCTTCTTCTCGAGCAAGCTGCCCTACGTCTGAACCAGTTATCTAGGGCTGGCATTTATGGAATCAAGAATGTCAATGGAATGGTGGATTTTCCTTTGCCTGGATTTGAAAGTGAACCAATTCACAGGGGCTCCATCAAAATGTAAATGCACAATCAATGTGGGCGTTTCAAGTACTGTTATGTTAACTCGCACATTTTCTATTTGCTGATTGGTCTAAAAGTCGTGCACCATTCAAATTTTGTTTGGTATTTGTCCAGGTTGGAGGCCGCTGTCCAGAGACTCACTAGCCTGTGTTCAGTGCTGAATGAAATGGAACCCTTGCGGGTTCTAAATCATATGTTTGTGCCACGAGAGGTAAGTATTTTACGTAGATTTTGTAGAACATACTTATATCCGAATTTTTTTTTGCTCTTAATCCAGTGCCCACCTGCTATTCGTGCTTCGAATACCTACTAAACACTGAATATCTGCTTAAATGTATGCCGTAATTCCAGTACTTAAGAGACCGAATTATGAAGAATTTCCGGACGCGTCTGAAAAGTATAATCATGACGAATGGTGAACTTCAACGGCCGTCTGTAGTGGAGGCACGACTGCAGCGGCATATGAGCATTGTACATCTCGTGGAACAGCATGTGCAGCTAGATTTAACACGAGGTGTCAGAGAAGTCCTTCTAACCGAGTCGTTTGCGAGACATATGGAAGACCTTCACCCTGACGACCGTGAAGTGGGTGCTGGTGGTGAGGCAGTATGTACAATTGCAGATTGGTATGTAGAGAATTTGTTGCGGGATGCTAAGGCTTCTGGAGTTATTTTTTCTCCTTTGGACAAGTGTTTCAAGAGCACCCGACCTATTGGTCGGGTAGCTGCAGAGTCGGTGGCAGATTTGGCAGAGCTGAAGGCTTTTGTGCGGATCTTTGGTCCTTATGGCGTTGATAAGCTATGCAATAGTTTGCTCGAACAGTTGACAGTTCTTGTAGATACTCTTGATACCTTTTTGCGCTCAAATAAGGAGATTTTGGAATCTTTAGCTGGGAACTTGCACAGTAAAAGTCATCGTGAAAATATGTTGCTTCAGATCGTTGAGTTGGAAATTCTCATGTCAAACGCGATGCGGATAGGTCACATGCTTAGCATGCGGGCTCTTCTAGCAGAGGCCACAGGTCAAGTGCTAAGGACCAACACCCCACTCCTCTTTTCTCTCTTGACCGACTTCTGCAAACATGCTCCTGCAACTATTCCCGAGAAACCCAATCTCCTGAGATTGAAGCGTGTATCCAGTCGTGTGGGTGCTGTTGAACTTGAAGAAGGTGATGCTGTGATGATTCACAGCATTTTGAACAATATGGAAGGAGCCGGGGATCCAACGTGGGGGCTTCTGCCATTTCTTTTTGTTGCGTGCATGAACTCAAACGTTTGGAACTCCACTACATTCAGTGTGCTTACTGGCGGATTCACATCAAATGTCCATTGTCTAGCCAGGTGTTACTTTCGCAACCTGCTTTTTGGCATATGATAACTATGACAGGAAGTGTTTCTGTATTTTAAAGATGTTAGAGTAAATTTGGCTGTTGATTGAACTACTTTTTTATTTCCCTCTTGCACATTCCTACTTATGCTTGTCATTTAATCTTGGTAATTTTTGATGAACAGGTGCATAAACGCTGTAATGATTGCGAATGAGTGGGTGCGATCAGAGCGTAGAGAGCAGCACCGGCTAACATTAGATCCAAGAAATGGCAGTATGGGAGAAGATGGTGTCCAAGGTGTAGAGACTAGAGCGGATGTAAACATAAGTATCAAGGCCTCTATGAAAACATTTTTGCAGTGTGCCGTTGCCACAGTGCTTGAATCTTGGGATGATTCGCATAGGTATGCTCTTTCCATAGCCTTTGGTTAACATTTTAACTATCCTTTCACGTACTCGTTTTGTCTTATCAAGCTTGGGTCTGAACTAGAGGTGTTACAGACTAGATATCGGTTTATAATCAGCTCATTTTGTAATCGTAAAGCCAATTTCATACTGATACTTATACTGATGTTTATACTGCTGCAGGAGCCCACTAGTCGCGAAGTTGATCTTTCTGGATCAGCTTTGTGAACTGACAAACTACTTACCTCGTAGCACTCTTGAGGGCTACGTTCCACATACAATCATGCGCTCAATCTACCAAATGTATTTCGAGAATTCAGTTCCCAGTCTCGTACATGTCCATCCTTCCACACGACAATACGCAGGTAATGGAGGCCCCATCAAAAGCCAGGGTGATACATCTGCAGAGCCTAGCGAAATTCATCTTCAACAGACTTCCAGAGGGTCAATCTTCTCTGGTCCCATTAAATTTGCTGGCCAGCACAAGCGTCCTGAGGTTGAACCTTCTGGAGAACTAGGACCAGATGGTAAGCCTCGCAGAAAAGCAAACCGATTCTCTGGTCCTTTGGATTATAGTCGAAAGGTGTCCTTCGCCGAAGGGCGTGGTCCTCCAGAGCCGGCTCCATCAAGCACCAGGAGTCCACTTGGCAGGTTCCGGTCAGGACCTCTCTCCTACGTGTAATACCAGAGATCTGATTTTCTTTTTATTAAAGAACCATCTATACATTTTATTGAACTTCAGAGGTTGGAAGGTGCATATAGTGGTGAGCTTTGATTGTGGCAGTTGGTGCCCATCGGACTTTGTATCTACTCTTGTATATGAAAAGGCGAACTTGGAGCTTTTAGACGATTTGTTGTTCACACTTACTTGCAGTACCTAGTTGATGACTTCTGGGCCATCAATAGAGTAGGTGCTTCTGGAATGATGCTTTATTGGGAATCAGCAGTAACTCTATCTACTTGTATTTATAAACATTTTGCACCATACTCTCCTCATTTTGAATGTTCAGAAGTGATAACTGTAGCGGCTCTATGTTTTGGTGTTTGCCCAATCTTTCATTTCTCTATGGGCCATACAAGTTTGTAGGAATTGTTCTAATGCATTCTCAATTTTAGTCGAGAGATGTGATTTCTAACTGAATCACTAAATTACTTTCTACCTTATTTTAGTTTCCAAACATGCCCACGGGCATTAACAGGGTTAGTTTTATCCAAGGTGTAGCCAAACTATCTTGTTCATTGAACTCATACATGTGAAGAAACAACGACCAATCATGAGTATCATTCCTTAATGTATTGATAATGGTAGGTGGAGTATTTTCAGCTTTGATTAGAGCTTGCCCAGATTCGGAGTCGCTCCATACGTTGGAGCTCCAAGCTACAGAGTCATCCTTGATTTCTCCTCGACCTACTAGCACTCCCTCTCCTGCAAACCTAAATCCACATTTGTCACCGTTGCTGTCTGATTTCACACCAAGCTCCACCGACGTGAGATTTAGCTCACTGACACCACAAAGTGATGACAGGTGCAAATCTAAGGACATGAGATTAGAATCAACTATGGAAACTCGAATGCCAACTCTCGAATTGGCCTGGCTGTGGTCTTTGAGGGTTGTGCATTGACAGAAGTCAACGAATGCCGACACCTCTACGGCAGCCTTACAACCAAGTTGTGCAAGTTAAGAGTCCATTCTGCATCTACAGTTCTGGTTTGTGTATGGTGAATACACATTTATATATATATATATATACACACACACAATCTTTTTCTTTCACTCTATGGCTTTCTTTCTTGATGTGAAGTTACAGTCTATTTCCAAAAGTATTTGACTTAATTTATAACCTCTATAGATGATTATTTTTTAAATTTATGCAAAAAAACTAAAATAATGTATGGTAATGCAATTCAAAGGTATACTTATTAAAAGATAAGGTAGTCACAATACAAGACCCTATGAATTCCAGCCTTTAGAAATGGGCATGAAGAGCAAGAAAACTTATATTTTTGTTTTAAATGTATGTAAGTTGCTCTTGTTTGAGGCAGAGTACATCTATAAGATGAGAAGATGTGGAGGTGGTGGGATGCAAAACTAAAGATGGTGCAATGAATAGAGTATGAATGTAGAGGTGGAGGTGTAATTGAATTGGTAATGATAAAGAGGATGAAATTGAGATTGTTGGTGATATGTATGAAGGTTCAACTTAATAAGATGTCATCGACATACATACTTATCTGGATTAAAGGATTTAAATAGAAATAATATACTTAAATAAATTTGATAATATCTTATGAAAAAACTTGTCAGAAGCTTTGTAGATACAAATTTGACATTAGACATGTTTGTTGGTAATTGGTAGGTTAAAAACTTGGTCGATAAATTAACCATGTGTTGTAAATGTTCATAACTTTTGGTACAAATTGGCCATGTAGCACACATGCAGGAAACTTATCTTGCAAGTTAGACACATGTCTTGCAAGTTGATCATGTGTTAATGGTTTTATAGAATATTGCCACATAACTTCTAATTAGATAATATATATGGAGGCAAGAGTGATGCTTTCCTCATTCTTGTTAATGTCTTTTTTATTCTTAGTCTTATTTTAAGAAGCATTAAATTTCTTATCTTTGGCAATAGCCATTCTAATCTTAATATTATACTATCTTTGAGTGATTATATACTCTTTTCTAATAACTATCATGGACATACACATATAAATCAATAATTACTTATATGATTTAAATAATAGTAGGTAAAAGTAGATCAATTCCATAATAACTTCTATAGAAGCTTTATAGATGCAACTTTGATTTTATAGATATCTTTAATTGATTTTTTAGGTTAGAAACGTGGTCAATAAGTTGGCTATGTGCCACATATGTTGGTAGCTTGAAGAACAAGCTAACTATGTGGCCCACACATAGAAAACTTGCCTTATAAGCTAAGGCATGTGTCTTGCAAAGTCAACACATATTTAAAGGTCCTATAGAACATCGCCACATAGCTCCCAAGTTGATAAGTTATGTTGGGGCCAGGGGGGAACCTTTTTTCTCCCTTTCAAACCCTTTTCTGGCTTTTAACTTGGAGGAAGGGGCCTTAGGTTTTCTGTCCTTTGGCCAAAGGGTTTTTTTTTTTTTTTTTTTTTTTTTTTTTTTTTTTTTTAATATATATATATATATATATATACTATTTTTTTGCTATTTTTTTCACTTTTCTTTTAACATAGCTTTTCCAGATTTTTGCATCTTCTTCCAATTCATGTCCTTGACAATAATGCAAGAGTCTATTGATTTTTATTTACTATTTATTTATTATTTATTTTTAAATTTATTTATTTATATCCTTGATAATTTGGCAAGAATTCTAATTTACTATTCTTATTTTTTTAGAAAAGAATAAATTATCTCCTATTATTGCATTTTAAAGATTATAGACTATCTTTTATTTATTTATTTTTTAAACTTATTAAAAAAAGTGGATTATTTCTCATTGAAAAATCATTATTTGATATTAGAGATTAAAAATTATCCTTCTCTAATTTGACTTATGAATTTGTTAAAATTATCTATTATAAAAATAAAAAATAAATTTATAAATACTACACTTGATAAAAGTAAGAATAGATTTGCAACTATTACAAGTCTTCATAAGATTGTCAACACTCTTTAGGTAGAAATTTTATGTATTATTAACATCAACCAATGGAGTATTATTTTTATATCTATAAAAAAAATTAACAATGAAGTTCAATATGATAAGAAATTATGCACTTAAAAGAAGTAAGTAGATCAATTTCATAATTGAATCCAAGAAGTCTTATTACTATAAGTATGATGGAGGCAATGATTAGTATGTCAGATAAGTTTGATGGAATAAGATCAAAATTTCAAGGATTTTTAGAATAAATCAAGTTTTTTCTAAAGATATATATATATATATATATATATATATATATATATCTGAATATTCTGATGGATTTATTCAAGTTAGATTTATAGGTACACTTTTATATGGAAGTATTTTTTTTAATTTGTATATTTGATGGATTTTTTTTTTATTATTCTTTTATGATCTAAATTCATTCTTAAAAGTGTTTATGGCTACATTTAGAAAAATTTATTTAAAATTATATAACAAAGATTAAATTTTAATTTTTATAAAAACAATCTCATTCTATTAAAGCTTCATGATAATCTTGTTTCATAGATAAAGCTTCAACAATCTCATTCTATTAAAGCTTCAACAAGATTATCATGAAGAATAGATATCTTTTATCTTTGATATCAAGACTTCTTAATCAATTCAACTTAATAAAGCTCTATAGAAAAAAAGATCTATGAAAAGTATATTATAAGATATATATTATAAAAATAAATAAATAAAAGACTACATTTTAACTAAGTATGAGCATTTTGAATATAATGTCATATCTTTTAGACATACTAATGTGTCAATTATTTTTTATTATCTTAAAAATGATATTTTAAAAAAAATTTAGATGATTTTTTTTGTTTATTATATAAAAAATATTTTAATATATTATAAGAACATTAAAGAGCATGAATTTCATATTTGTCATGTATTACAAAAATTTAGAGATATAAGACTATACATCAAGATAGAAAAGTGTATATTTCTGACTATTCAAGTTGACTTTTTAGGATACATTATTTCAAATGATAGTTTTATAATAGATTTAAAAAAAATTTAAATTGTTATGGATTAATAAATTCCAAAAACAATAAAAGACGTGTAATATTTTTTGAAATTTTCTAATGGATATTAAATTTTTATCAAGAACTTTTCTCAAGTTGAAACTCTTCTTATACATTTGACTTGTAAAAAAAAATTGAGTGGAATAAAGAATCTGAAACAACATTTGAAGCTTCAAAAACAACTTTTATTTTTGCACCAAATTTATATTGTATCAATTTTTTTTAATTCATTTTTATATAAAAATAAAGATATAAGAATTATCTTTAGATATAATATTAGCTCAAATAAGAATAAATGACAATCTTTACTAATTAATTTTTTATTTAAAGAAATTTTTAGAAATTATGATTAATTATAAAATCTACAACAAAGAACTCTTATTAATTTTTAATTCATTTTAAGAATGGTGTTATTATCTAGAAAATACTTTTATTTTACTATTTATACATGTCACAAGAAGTTCAAGTATTTTATATCAAGGTACATTTTGAAACGCTACCAAATCCATTAGGGCATATCTTTATGAAGATTTAAATACAAGATTAATTACTAAAAAAAACAATATGATTTATCTGACACTTTTTTTAAATATTTTTTATTTTGTGTCAAAAGAAAGAGATGCAACTTTTGATTAACAACAAACAATTCTTTTGAAGCTAAAGAATTTTTATTTTTGAGCTATAAAATCAATATTAATGATTAATTCAATATTTTTGGATCAATTTTAATCCAATTTATTCTACAATCTTTTTAATTATAATATTAATTTTTAAATATCATCTCTATTTTAAGGAATGCTTATATATTTTAGATGGTGAAACATGATTACATGCTCTTTAATCTCATTATAATATTTTAACTATGAGACATTTTAGATATAATAAGATATTAAAGCTGATATCAAGAAATTTTTGATATCCTTGAAGGAGAGATAATGTCATGGACATATACATATAAACCAATAATTATCTATATAATTAGATAAAAATAGATAAAAATAAATTAATTCCATAATATCTTTTATTGAAACTTCATAAAAGCTTCATAGACACTATTTTGACTTTATAGGTATCTTTAATTGAATTTTTAGGTTAGAAACATGGTCAACAAGTTGGCTATGTGCCATATACATTGATAGCTTGAAG